TACAGTTAGAAAATGACCTACAGATTCAGTGCACTTTTTAAAAAAATATATTTTTTAAATTGATTTTAGAGAGGAAGGGAGAGGGAAAGAGAGATAGAAACATCACTGATGAGAGAGAATCATTGATTGGCTGCCTCTTGTGCGCTCCCTCCTGGGGATCGAGCCCACAACCCAGGCATGTGCCCTTGATCAGAATTGAACCAGGGACCCTTCAGTCCACAGGCTGATGCTCTAGCCACTGAGCAAAACCGGTTAGGGCTAGCCAAGATATTCTTGAAGTAAAATACGATAGGAGAACTTCCTCTATCAGCTATCAAAATGATGAAGTGTAAGGGCAATTTAAGACTGTAAATGTTGGCTCAGGATACACAGACAGACGTGGCGTAGAAGACAGCACCTGGGCTGTGTGTCCAGAGCTGGGTGAGTTTGTTTTTTTTGGTGGTGCTGGGAAAAGTGGAGAAAAAACAAAGAAAGAAAGAAACTGGATTCCCACGTCATACAGATAGGATGGACCCAGCTGTGCAGGTCTGACTGAGGGTCACAGACACAGCTCCACAGAGGCGGGAGGCAAAGACTCTGCCCCAGACACAGAGCACTGACCATCAAGGCAGAGATCGCCCACTGGGACTCCGGAAGCTCGGGGACTGCAGCATCCAAACGCCCGTACTGAAGGCCCATTGGTCCTGAGCGCGCCTCCGGGAGCAGAGTGGCCAGGGAGTCTAACAGGCATTTGATGAAAGATGATTCCCAATAGCAAAGCCGCAGATGAAGAGGTTTCCAACCACATTAGTCACCAGGGAGGCGCAAGTTACAGCCACAGGGAGGCTTGTACACAGGAGTGGCCCCAGTGACCAGAGACAGATGGTGTCACGTGTTGGTGTGGCCATGAAGCAGCCTACACTCTGATAACACTCCGGTAGAGGGCGCTCCCTGGGGGGCGTGTTTGAAGATAAAGTGCCCTGAGACTCGGCAGTTCCGCTGCACCCAAAATGTCCATCCTGAGTTCCAGGCGACGTGCACGAGGCCTCACAGCTGTGGTGAGACTCCTGAGCCAGAGCAGCCCAACTGCCCAGCCGCAGGGAGGACGCCAGGGATGCTCTGTGGCTGCCTGGACACATGTCACAGAGAGAGGGCAGACACACGCAGTGCGTCTGTAGGACTCCATTCATAGGAGCTAAAAACAGACCAGACTAAGCCATGGCTTTTGGTTGTGTGTTCAGCGTAGAACTATTAAGAGAAACTAGGGCCTGGCCAGCGTGGCTCAGTGGTTGAGCATTGACCTATGAACCAGGAGGTCATGGTTCGATTCCCAGTGAGGGCACATGCCTGGGTTGCAGGCTCAATCCCCAGTAGGGGGCATGCAGGAGGCAGCTGATGAATGATTCTCTCTCATTAATGTTTCTCTCCCTCTCCCTTCCTCTCTGGAAAAAAAAAAAGTATATATATATATATCTCCTATATAATAAAAACCTAATATGCTAAGTGTCCAGTCATCCGGTCAGCCATTCAACCAATCAAAGTGTAATATGCTAATGATATGCTAAGGCTGCTCAACCGCTCGGTATGACATGCACTGACTAACCAGGGGGCAGACGCTCCGACTGGTAGGTTAGCTTGCTGCTGGGGTCCGGCCGATTGGGACTGAGTGAGACAGGCCGGACATGCCCTGGAGCCCTCCCGTGGTCCCTCCCTGGCTGGCCAACCTCCCGCATCCCTCCCCAGCCCCGATCATGCACCGGTGAGGTCCCTCGGCCTGGCCTGCACACTCTCGCAATCTGGGACCCCTCAAGGGATGTCAGAGAGCTGGTTTTGGACCAATCCCGCAGGCCAGGCCAAGGGACCCCACTGGTGCACGAATTCATGCACTGGGCCTCTAGTGCGCGTGTGTGTGTGTGTGTGTGTGTGTGTGTGTGTGTGTGTGTGTGTATTTTTTTTTTTTTAAGAAAAAAACTAGAACATCACTATGCTTTCGTTATGACCTGGGTGAGGCTACGCGGGCTTCACTTTGGGATAAATCCCAGAAGTGTGTATTTCCAATTGGTGCTCTTTTCTGAATTTGCTGTGAAAATGATTGGCATGGGGTATGTCTCTCCCAGGCCTGCTGAGATAGATGCTGGAGTCGGCAGCGCTGGCCGCTAGGGTTAGGGTTTTACAGATGAGCCTGAGAGAGGAAGATGGAACCAAAGGACGAGGGTGTGTGGAGGGAGTGTGAAGGGAGAGGACAGGAGCTAGTGACAGATTGTGGGAAAGGGACTCCTGAGCAGGAGGTGGAGGTGGAGAATGAGACCCGTGCTGTGGGAATGGCAGAAGGAACGTCTGGAAGAAGACCTGGTACCTGACCCGAAGGGCCTGCAGAGACCGTGGGCAGAGTGGGGGACAGGGGTGCAGAGACGGGCTGTGCAGCCAGGGACAGCGGGAGTGAGAGGGCAGCATGCAGGAGCCAGGCCCACACCTGCTGGAGAGGCCGGCGCTCCCTGGGGCCCAGACTCCTCTTGGTCTCATTGTCACATTCTGTCTGCCGGCAGCCTTGGGGTGGACAGGAACTCAGGAGTCCGCCGTGTCCGTCACACTTGGTTCAAAGGCTGTAACTTTGTGGGGAGCGCTGAGCCCTGGGAGGTCCCCATTCTCCGCTGTCACCCTCAGACACTGGCATCTGCCGCCCCCTGGGGTCTCCGTGGCTCATGACTTCCATGTACTGTGGGGAGGAGCACAGTGTCCCCACTCCCTGAGGGCAGCTCCCCCCTCCCAGGGCCCCGTGCAAGGGGGGTCACCAGGCCGTGCACTGATGGGCCACACGAGGCTAATGGCCCTGCCTGTGTCCATGACCTGCCCCGTCACTGGACACACTGTGACCTCTGGGCCGCAGGAACTATCACTGTTTCTGCTTTACTGAGTGGGAAACTGAGGCAAGGTGCCAGTGCCAGGGGATAGAAATTGTCCGAGCCCATGGAGCCCTTCCCCCGGCGGGCTGGCTTAGAGCCTCGCTCCTGCACCCTCACCTCTCCAGCTGCCTCTTCCAGGACACTGAGCTCCGGCAGCCTGGGCTGCACATCTGTCCCCCAGGAGCTGTGGCACGTCCTGCTCTAGGGAGTTGCTCTCCAGGTGAGAGCCGTGGCCGACCGGTGCTCAACAGGGAGGTGTCAGGCAGGCGACTTTGTGACTTCGTCGGCGGTGGGGGGCGGTGGGGAGCAAGGCCAGGTATGGGGGAGAGATGGGCGCCCTCGCATGCCATGGTCCAGTGGCTGCTCTGAGGAGGGGCTGTCCACGCTGAGCCCTCGATGCTAAGAGGGGGCCAGCCACCTGAAGGTCTGGGGACAGGGCACAGCCAGCGTGTCCCGGGACAGAGGGGGCGGTCCGGCTGACCTCGCGTTTTCTTAGTGTGCGGAGCCTGCGGGAGCCCAGTGAGAGCGCCACCTGCCTGCCTGAGTTCCGCCTGCTCTGGGCACCCCTCCGGGAGGGCCAGCGTTTGTTCGGAAGCCCCTCGGGCAGCATGGAGGCTGGCAGGGGCTGAGACTCCCCAGGGGGCAGTGTAGGCACTGGGGCCAGGCAGCCACCTTCCCAAGCGACGCTCTCATGTTTCCAGACAGGAGGGGCCGCCACGCTTTGGGCCAAAGAGTGGGGTGGCACGTGGTCAGGCCCTTCGCACATCTTTGCTGTTTTCACGCTGAAGGCAGAGCTAAGTGGTCGTGTATCGCCCGCAAAGCCGGGGTGCCCTGTGAGGCCAGTGGCCTGCTTGCTCCCAGCCCTGCTCTAGGCTGTTCTCTAGACTGTGGGTGGGGTCCTCCAGCCCCTCCCCATCGCCCGAGACTCCACCCTTTTCCTGACCACCGCTGACCAGTGTCAGGCCCCCCGTCCTGCTGCTCTGGACTCTCTGGCTGGTTAGCTGTGGCCCAGTCCCAGCCCAGCACACTGGCGCTCCCCGTCCCTTATCACAGCCCCTGACGGCTCCTCCTGCCGCTCACAGCGCCCCCAGCCCCTCCATCAGCATCACCATCTAGAGCAGTGATGGCGAACCTTTTGAGCTCGGCATGTCAGCATTTTGAAAAACCCTAACTTAACTCTGGTGCCGTGTCACATATTGATATTTGCAACCATAGTAAACCATAGTAAAACAAAGACTTATATTTTTGATATTTATTTTATATATTTAAATGCCATTTAACAAAGAAAAATCAACCAAAAAAAATGAGTTCGCGTGTCACCTCTGACACGCATGTCATAGTCCTCCGGAAATTCTGTTTCTTTGTTACTAATGTTGGGGCCCCACCCCATAACAAAGAAACAGAATTTCCGGAGGACGAGGCCCAGAAATCAGGATTTTAAAAAGATTACCAGGTGATTCTAATGTGCAGCCAAGGTTGAGAACCACTGGTCTAGAGCAAGCATGTCACACTCGTGGCCCGCGGGCCCCATGTGGCCCACAATGAATATTTTTGCAGCCCACCAGTATAACAGTACATAAGAAACATTTTAATAAGAATTTCATAACTTGACTTTTATAATATCCTGTTATACATAATTATTAATAATGAACTACAACATTCGCTAATGACTGGTTACTATAATCGTCTTGCCTTCGTTTCCCTTACGCGCCTTACGTGCAGGCGCACCATTTCTCTCCACTAATACCAGCAGCGAATATTCTAGCAGCGATCGCTATGTCATTAGTCTTGGACTGACTTGTTTGGTGTGCGCAACAGGAAATATTTTGCTTTCGGAGAACAAGAAAAATAGGTTTATTTGCGTGATGCTTATTAACTTGTGTAGTTATTCAGTGTCTGGTAAGTTAATGTTCAAGAAAAAAATATTAATTTTTATTAAAATGGTCTATTATTTTATGTTAACGATGACTCATTTATTTCAGCCCTTTATATTCAGCATGTCTCTACTGAAATAAACCTACGTTTCTATGAAAATTGAAGCTTTTGTTTTTTTGTGGCCACATCCACTTACACCTTGTTTATTTGGCCCGTGGTAGCCTTGGAGTTTGACATGCTTGGTCTGAGTATTTGCTGGAGGAAGCACACACCCCCGCCCCCTCTATTTCTGGGCGCCCAGGTGTTGATGGCAGGAACTGGCAGTGCGTCTTGGACAGCAGGGGGCGCCCCTGTCCAGACTTCTCTGTTTGGAGAGGGGAGCCGGGTGGCGGGCGGCCCTGAGGCTGCCTCCTCTGTGGCCAGGCTCTGTGTGTCTGTTTGGACGGCCCAGGCTTGCTGTCAGAGGCTGTCGTCCGCCCGAGGCAGGCGGACCTGCACGAGACCCAGACTCAGAGGCCGCCATTGCCTTCTTTGGTCGCTCTGCCTTCTTCAGCCCCTTGGCCGGTTGCTGCGCTCCTCCCAGTGCTGGCTCAACTCCGGGACGCACTGTAGTCATGGAGTTCACGTGATCCAGGGTGCAGTGTACACAGACACTTCAAAATGAGCATTTTTTTATTAAAAAAAATCTTAAGTTTGCTGTTTTTATCTCTGGGAGAAATTAACTCCGAAGTTTTTGCTTGGTTCGGTCCTTCATATACTCATCTAGCCTTTAGGTCGTTTACATAGGAAATGATCTTAATTCTCTTTAAAACCCTGTTCACTTGGGATGCATTCTAGGACAGCGGTCGCCAACCAGTGGTCCACTGGTGGTCTGTGAGGTCCGGAAGGTTGGCGACCGCTGTGCTAGGATGTCTCGGTGAGTGGTCCTTAACACCCGCTACGTGCCAGGTGCTGCTGGTTCTGCTCAAGGGACAGCAGGGAACAGACGATAGCAGCCCTGTTGTCCTCGGGCTGGCCCCGCCCGTCACCAGCACTGAGCAGGTGGGTGGCCAGGGGTGCCCCCCCCCACCCCGAGGGTGGGCGCTGGACAGGGCACCGCCGAGCTGAGGGTGAGCATTGGGCGCTAGGAAGGAAGGGGCAGCTAGATTACAGGCCGTGGGGTCCACACCAGGGCGGGGACTGGGTCAGGAGACAGCAAAAGGTCAGACACCTTACCTGAGCCCAGGGATGGGGCGGAGGTGGGTGGTGCCTCCTCCTCCTCCTCCACCTCTTCCTCCTCCACCTCCTCCTCCTCTACCTCCTCTTTCTCCTCCACCTCCTCCTCCTCCTCCCTTCTCCTCCTCTATCTCTACCTCCTCCTCCTCCTCCACCTCCTCCTCTTTCTCCTCCTCCCTCTTCCTCCTTCTTCTCTACCTCCTCCTCCTCCTCCTCCTCCCCCTCCTCCTCCCTCCTACTTTTCCATCACCACTACCACCTCCTCCTCCTTCTCTTTCTACTCCCCCGATCCTTGCCGCCCCCAGCATGTCCTGGGCACCAGGCTGGGCAGTTTCTGCGCTCAGCGGTGGTGGTCAGGTGATGATGAGGCCTCTGACCCTCCCCTGCCCCTCTCTTTCATACCTTTTCTGTGCTGTGTGCCGGTCTCTGGAGCAAAGCTGTCTGAGGAAGCTGGAGCCGATGCTGTTTCTGTCTGTAATGTCCTCCCAGGCAGGTGTACGTTTCTGCGATAGACAGAGCTGTGTCGCGAGTGCCCACTGGGAGCTCGGGTCCTCCAGGAAGAGCGAAAGGCAGGGTGGGCTCAGCGCCCTCCCAGCAGGTGGCCCGGCCCCAAGCTGGAGGGCTCTCATCCCAGCAGGTGTCCATGTGGGCGCTGTGTTTGCAACCCCGGACACTCCCTGAGGTCTGCCCTTCTGCCCTTCCAGGAGCCCATCCAGTGAGGCCCCAACGTCCCTGCCATCACATGGACGGTGTGGCGGCACTTAGGGTGAGCCCAGGACCCTCCAGGGAGTCCCAGGGACACCAGGTTCTAGAACTAGTCTCTGCTTCCTCCTTTTCTAAACCAGGACCTGTCATGGTTCCCTCACTCTCAGGTGTGTCGGATGTGGGGAGGCAGGCCAGCAGGTCCTGGGAGAGGCCCCAGGACAGGGTGAGGGGGACGCAGAGCCCGCGGCTGGCCCCGCCCTGCCCGCGTGTGGAGGCTAATAATAGAGCTGTCATTACGGCCGGACGCACGGAGCTGCTGCTCTGCGTTCTCTCAGCTTCTCGGCAGCTGCTGTGCGGCGGGGAGATCGCCCCTGTGGGCTGCGCTGTGTTCTTCTGATTTGGTGGAGGAAATGCTTTAAAAGTGATCTCACAGCGTGATTTACGTAAACGGCTTTTTTCGCTGCACGAGACAATCCAGAGTCTGAGTCCCTGGCCAGCCACAGCTTCCTGCAGTGTCCTGTTGCCACGGGTTACGAGGAGAGCGGAATGGAACTTCATCTGCACCGTCTTTAAACTTTCCTGCCGCGCACAGGCCTGCCGCGGGGGGAATGGCAGCCCTCAGCGCTGCGTGCCTGCGGAGGAGCGGGCGTTGTCTGTCTTAAGATGGATTTGGGGGAAGGGGCGTCCAAGGAGGCGCGCGCTTCCGACGATCAGCAGGTGAGTCCTTCCAGCGTTGGGTCATTTACAGAGTCGTGTGCGGAGGCTCGGCATCCCCATTGCTGCCTATTCTCAGCTGCTAGCGGGCCGCGTAGCTGCACACTTTGTGAACGCTTGTCTCGTGGCTGCCTCCCGAGCTGGACGGGAGTCCCGTGGCGGTGATGCCCGGCTCTGGGACCACAGACCAGCGCCCAGAGCGAGCTGCTGGCGGCCCGTCATGCCGGGTCCAGCCTGCCTCTCAGGACCCCGCTGCCGGTGTCCCCGTCAGCCTTCTTCTCGTCCTCACCACGGTGACGCTAGAGGTTGTGGAGCTGAGGAGTTAACTGTGTTGGGATAGCACATTTCAAAACCTATCCTGCTCTTTACCACTGTTATGTCTTACTTCTTAAATGTAATGAGTTGGTTCTGTTGCATATACAGACCTAGGGAACTGCGGCCCTCTAATGACTGGCTATTACCTCGGCTTATAAAGTTGAACTTCTGTAAACATTTTTAAAGGTGTGAGATGATCTGAAAAGAATACTTTTTATTTTCCTCTTGTGGCCCTGTGCCGATAGAAGGCAAAATGAATTGAAGTTATTTATAGGAGATTGTCACTAATTACAGGGGCCGGTTTCAAATTCATTCTTTCTGAGAGGTGTTTCATCCGCACTTGTCTTCCTAATCCCTAATGAGGGCCTTGTGTGGAGACCTGAGGGGAGGGGCACTCAGATGTGGCGGCTGGAGGGTGGGGTGGGAACATGAGCGACACCCTCCTTCCACTCGGGCTGCTGGACAGGCCAGGATTGTGCTGATGAAACGCGTGCAGGTTTAATGTGCTTGGGAGACATGCATGTGCTCGGAGCCCCGGGCAGCTGCGGGC